CAGGACCTGGGAACTCCCAAACGGGCTCAGTTTCCAGCTGGGAGTTGGTGGCTGTGGGTCCCTCCAGCCCTCGACTCCTCCGGGGTCTGGATGGGGCTCGGCCCCTTTGCTGCCCTCCCAGGGGTGGTGGCTCCCCTGGGGCTTCCTGGGGTCCCTTTTGGCCACCAAGTGAAGGGTCTGGGAAACAAAACTGTTCCAGTTCTGGAGATTTTCCAGCCTCTCCTGTCCCTGACTTGCTCCGGACAATCCCAGATCCCATTTCAAAGGCCACCCCATGAGCTTGGAAACCTGAACGCAGGGATGGAGGAGCGAACAGATCCCAAAGATAACAGACCCAAAACTCTTCCCAGGGCCTGAAATAAGCCTTTTTCCCCCCAAAATACACTCACCAGGACATTTCTCATCTGGAGAAGGTCCATTCTCAGGATTTCTTAGATTGGCATAACCCATTTCCCCAGCCACGGTGGCTCTGGAGGTCGTTGGCGTGTCCGGAGAGCGACACCAGCCTCGGACACCTTCTCACCTCATGACCAACGCGCGTCCGGTCCCCGGAAATGGCACCAACCGGGCCTTTTATGTTTCTTTGGGGTTTTTTTTTAAACATATCTCTATATTCTTCAGTCTCCCCTGTGCCTGAGGAAAGGGTTTAGGGTGTCCCCGGCCAGGAGGAGGAGGGGGGGGGCTCACCTGGAGGTGCAGGAACACGCGCAGGGTTGGGCCGAACAGGTGGAAATTTATTACATTAATCAAATTAATTTATTAAATTAACTCAAAAAGCCTCTGATTGAGGTTTTTTGGGGGGTGAGGCTGAAACATGACAGGTGATATTTGGTGTTGCTTCTCCAAAAAGCATCTCTCAGGGATGGGGTGGTGGCAGAAATGCTGCAGCCATGGGAGGGTCAGAACCAGGCAGGGCAGGAGGAGCTGACACCCCCCGGTCATTTAGGGGGGTTTTTCCCCACTTGTCTGACACCCCCTTTGTCCCCCTCAGCCCCATCGGTCAGGACACGGCCCGGTTCTGGGGGGGCAGAGCTGCTCCTGGGGACACCGGGGGATCCTTTACCCCCCTCGTGCAGCTCCAAGCGCCTGAGGGGCCAAGTCCTGGTTTCTGGGGCTGCCCCCACAGTTGATTTTGGGGTCCCGCGGGGGCTGCGGGGGCCGCTCGGGGCCGGGACAGGACCGAGGGAATGTCCGCCGGAATGTCCGCGGGAATTCCCGGCTCGTGCGCATCCCCTGCCGGCCGCGGCGCACAAACGCACCCGATTTCCCTCCGAAAAGGGGGAAAAAACGGCCCCAAATCCCTTTTGCCCGAGCGGAGGAGGGGGACAGAGTTCGGGCAGAAAAGTCCAAAAATCGGTTTTGCCCAACTCGGGAAGCACAAAACAAACAGAAGTGAGGTGGGACCCCCCCAGCAGCACTTGTGTGCCATCGCCCCCCCTGAAGCCCTCCAGGGTGACTGGGCAGACTGGGAGCACTGGGAAGCAGCCCCACGTCACCCCTGGGAGCTCCAAGGCTCCGACATTTGGGATGGAATCATGGAAAGTGGCAGGGGGAGCAGGGGAAGGGACGGGGGGGATTTCCCAAGGTTTTATTGCAAAAGTGAACGTGGGATCTCCTGCTTCACTCCGGATAGGCAGCATCATACATGTATACAGGGTTAGGGTACAACTGTGGACTGTTAGAGAAGCAGGATGAGTTCTGGGATGGTTCTAGAAGGACAAAGAAACCCAGAGTCCCCACTTCAGGCAGCCACACATGGGCTTCCACATCATCTCCCCTCCCTGCAGGCTCATCCCCTTCACACCAGGCACTGAGGTGACCCTGAGGGGTTGCACTGAGGTATCCGTGGCACCAGGCTCTGAGGTGATGCAGATAAACAACTGCAAGGCAGGTGGAGAGCTGAGGTGTGCTGGGAGAAGATGCAAAGCTGTTGAGTCTTCAGGATGGAGGAAAAGGTCCCCTTCCCACCATTTATTCCAGGCGATCCTGGGGTCCTAGTGGTCTCTCACAGAATCATCCAGACCAGGTTGGAAAAGACCTCCGAGATCACCAAGTCCAACCCTGGATCCAACCCCACCGTGCTTCCCAGACCATGGCACTGATGCCACATCCAGTCTCACCTTCAACACCCGCAGGGACGGGGACTCCAGCCCCTCCCTGGCAGCCCATTCCAATGGCCTGATTACTCCTTGCAAGAATTCCCTCCTAATAATCCAGCCTAAACCTCTCCTGGCACAGCTGGAGACCGCGCCCTCCCTGTCCTGCCGCTGCTTCCCTGGGAGAGAGGCCCGAAGCCCCACTCGTTTGGCCCCCACCTGTTCAGTAGTTTAGAGATGAGGAGGTTCTCCCCTGAAGCCTCCTCCTCTCCATGCTGGCCCCCCCAGCTCCCCTCAGCCTCTCCAGAGACCTTTGCTCTCAATGCTTAGCGGGAACCCATTTGGGCTGAACGGGACCCCAAATCCACCTTTAAAACGCGGGGAAGGACCAAACCGCCAGAACCCCCGAGCGCCTCCAGCCCCAGGAGAAGCGAGCGCGGGTCTCACCTGCGCCGGGGCCGCGTCCGAGCTCCTCACCCGCCGCCTCACCGGGGTCCGGACACTGCCGTCGCTCCCGGTGCTGTTACGACTCCGAGAACGACAACTCCGTGGACTCCTTCGTGGGCGTGGCCCACCCTACGGCCGTGACCAATCAGCGCGCGGGAGCCAAGAGTGACGGGTCAAACAGCCAATACGAGGCTTTGGTCCCCTCCGCAGTGGGTGCCGCTGATTGGTGGAACCGTGAGGGCTGTTCCGCCATCTTGGCTCCCTCAGGGCGAACGGGGCAATCCCGGCACCCGCCGGGACGTTCCCTCGGGTCTTTCCCCGCCCGCGCGGGGCGAGCGGCCCCCGCAGCTCCCGCACCGACACGAGGACACGAGGGACAGCGGTGGGGTCGCACAAACTTTATTATAAATATAAAAAAAGGAGAAGGAGAGAGAAGCACAGCAGCAGCACTGATACAGTAACTGCTGAGGCCACAATCAGGACATTGTATGTTCACATTCGAATATTCAGCAGTGGCCAAATACTTCATATGCGCACATTAAAGCACTGTAGTGTTATGCATCCACACCGTTAAGTGATAGAAAATTAGGACCCAACCAGACATGCCTGTCTCATATTGGCCTTTTTAGCCATCAACACGCTTGCAAGAAACGTGGGTAAAGCCCTTCCCAAATCTTCGTTTGCGAAGCCTGGCCATGAGAAAATTAGGAAAACTTCTGGAGAAAGAAACCCCTAGTCCACGAAGGCACACATCATGTCCCTGCAGGTTCACCTCCTTGAGACCAGCTACTGAGGTGACAATGACAAAAGGCACTGAGGTTCCTGAGGTTGTGCTGAGATGTGGCACAAAGTAAATGTTCATCTGTGGAAGGACATCCCTGGGCTCGTGGAAGAAGGAAAGCTGTGAGTCTTCAGGACGGAGAAGGTCCTTTCTCCCTCACTTCCATTACAGGTGGGGTTGGGGGTTGCTGCAGAGATACGGCAGCTGCTTTGAACAGTCCTCGCTCCTGAGTTTATTGTCCGCCAGGTACACACACTCTGAATTGCCAAGGACCTCCAGCCTGCAATGAGGAGCAGAGACAGCGCTGTTACAGGGCAGGGCTGTGAACAGGACAGGTCGGCTCTGCCCATTCCCCCCAGCACATGAGGAGACAAGCACAAGGAGGGACAGTCCCAGCAGCCTCATCCCCCCCATCCCCTGCCCGTCCCCCCGGGACTCACGAGGAGTTGTAGCTGCTGCCGTCCACCCACTGAAACCTCTCGCCCCGTCTCCGCAGCCCGAGCCAGTAATCCAGGTTGCCATTGAGGCGGAAGACGTGGTCCTGGGAGGGAGAGAGGAGCAGGCAGTGAGAGCTGCCCCGGGCCAGGAACCCCCCTCAGCCTCCCCTCTGCCACCCACACACCCCCCAGAGCCCCTCACTCACCATTTCCCTGTCGCTGAGCACGGCCAGGGAGGCCCCGAGCTCGGAGCAGCGATCCCGAGCCTGCTCCCAGGTCCCCTCATCCCTGGAGAGGTAGTAACAGACCCTGTTGTACCCGACCCAGGCCTCGGGACAGGCCAGGAACTCTGGAGGCCTGGGCGTGACTGGAATCTCTCCAAGGCTTCTCACTGAAGGAGGAAAGGGAGAAGGTCTGAGGATTCCCCTCCACAGGGAGCCCAGCCCTGTGCCCAGAGCTGCCTCTGAGCTGAGGCAGCTGCTCCTCCCTTACCTGCCAGCACAGCCATGGCCACCACCAAAGCCAGGAGCAGAGCCAGCAGCAGGAGCACAGCCAGCACCACGGTGAGCACTGGGTGTGACCTGAACCAATTGCCTGGAGGAGGAAAGAGCAGAAGCAGAGCACGAGGCCTCTTGCAGACCCCTGGAGCAGCCTCACACCTGCCAGCCCTGCCCTGGTGGGGCAACACTGTCCCCTCCCTACGGGACCCAGGGCTGGCCCTGCACTCACCCACACATTTTCCCAGGATCGTGTTTTGTATATTCCTTGTTTCTGATCCATCCTGGAGACACGGGGACTCCTCTGCCTTCTCACCATTCTTCCAGTTGCTTCTACCCTCCATATCTTGAATCACTGCAAAGTTAGAAGAGGCACCTCCCTGACCGGGACAAGCCCCCTCTTGAACATGAGGCATCGCTAGGGGTGAAATAAAAACCCTCTTTGAGTCGGATTTAACAGGAGCACCGTGTCAGACTGTAGAGAATACGCAGAGAACAGTCCAGAGAGGGACTGGGAACTCACTTATCCCAGGTAGTGTGGGATGAGGGACCCGGGCAGTGTTTCTGACAGAGGCCCAGCAGCCAGGCTGCACCAGGACCGCCCATGCCCTCCCCGCCCCCGGATGGCCCCGCCCCTGACTAGCTCCGCCTCCGGCTGGCTCCACGACGGGACGGGAGGGGGGACGGGACGAGGGGAAGGAAGAGGGGGGGGAAGTGGGAGGGGTGGAAGGGAGGGCGTGGGGGAGCGATCGGGCTGCGCAGGGCCGGCGCTGAGACTCAATGAGAGCTCCGAACACTTCACCCCCAGCTCCCGCCAGAGCCCGCTCCCCAGCACCGCCAGCATCCCCCCAGCCCAGGACAGGGCGAACCCGCCAGACTCCCCCTTTTCGCTCCTCACCAGCATTAGGTGCCTTCATCGTCCCTCCTGGTAATGGTGGCACGGCAAATGGAGGCGGGTCCCGTAACGGGACGCGTGATCAGCGGTGACCAATGAGAGGGCAGAAAAGCAGCCAATCGGAGCGAGGCAGAGATCACACCATGGGGAACACGCATGCCCCGCGCGGGACTTCACCTCCCAGCGTCCCCCGCGGCCCTCCCCGCGCGAGGTGGGCGTGGCCTCCGCCATCTTGGCGCGGTCCCTCAGCGGCGCGAGGGAGGGAGGGGGGGCACGTCCGGCGGCTCTTAAAGGGGGCACGGCCCGGGGTGGGGCCCCCTCGGCGCGGGATGGAGCGCGGAGCGGCGGAGGAGGTTCGCGGGGACGGGGAGGGGGCGGCGGGGGCGGCGGGAGCGGGACGGAGCCCCCAAAATCCGGCTCTTCCCCTCCCGCCCGCCGCCGTTGTGCCGCTTTCCCCCCTTCCCCGCTTTAAGGCCCGGCGGGGGGAACGGGCGGGGGGGGACCCCGGGGGGGGGGAGCGGCGGGGGCGGGCCTTGTGGGATGGGCGGGGCTTGTTGGGGGCGGGGCTTGAGCCGGCGCGGGCGGGGCCAAGAGGGAGGTGGCTACGGGGAGTCGAGGGGCGGGGCCAAGGCGAGGGGGCGGGGACTGGGGCGGGGCTTGGGGCAGCGTGGGGGTCCCCCCCTCAGCCCCCCCTTTCCTGTGACCCCCCTCGACCCCTCCCGTGTCCCTGTGGCCCCACCTGAGCCCCCCCCAGACCCCCCCCATGGAGCCAGGACACCCCAAATTCCCCACCTGAACCCCCCCCGCAGACCCCCCCCCATGGAGCCAGGACACCCCAAATTCCTCACCTGAACTCCCCCATCCAGTGCCGGACCACCCCCATGTCCCCCCACTGTGTCCCCCCCAGCCCCTCCTTGCACCCCCAGCCCACCCCCCTGACCCTCCCCTTGTCCCCATGGACACCCCAAATTCTCCCACCTCACCCCCCCAGCCCCTCCCCGCGCCCCCAACCCACCCCCCTGACCCTCCCAGTCCCCCCAACCCCTCCCAGTCCCCCCAGCCCACCCCAGTGACCCCTCCCCTGTCCCCCCAACCCTCCCCCCCGCGCCCCCAGCCCGACCCCTGACCCGCCGCTGTCACCCCCCCAGTCCCCTCCCCGGCCCCCAGCCGCACACCAGTGACCCCGCCCCTGTTCCCCAGCCCATCCCAGGCCCCCACCCCTTCCCTGTGCCCCCAGCCCCACCCCCTGACCCTCCTCTGTCCCCCCCAGTCCCTCCCTGTCCCCCCAGTGCCCCCAGCCCACCCCAGTGACCCCCCCCAGCCCACCCCCTGACCCCTCCCCTGTCCCCCCAGCCCACCCCAGTGACCCCTTCCCTGTCCCCCCGACCCCTCCCAACCTCTCCCAGTGCCCCCAGCCCACTCCAGTGACCCCCCCCAGCCCACCCCCTGACCCTCCCCTGTCCCCCCCAACCCCTCCCTGTCCCCCCAGTGCCCCCAGTCCCCCCCAGTGACCCCTGCCCTGTCCCCCCAGCCCCCGGCGCGGGGGGGTCGCCCCCGAGCCCCCGAGGTTGTCCGGCGGCAGCGGCGGCGGGAGTTGGACGCGCGGCGGAGCCGCTGCCGGATCCGCATCGGGGGGCACCTGGAGCGCTGGTGCCGCCTCAAGGAGCAGCTCGGCTTCGCCCTGCACTCCCAGCTCGCCCAGTTCCTGCTCGACAGGTCGCTGGGGGGGCCCCCGAGCCCCCCAAAACTCACCCCCTTCACCCCGGGTTGGGGTCGGGCCGGCTCTGCCCCTGCTGACCCCCCACCCTGTCCCCGCAGGTACAGCGACCCCGGCGGCACCCGGAGCTCAGGTGGGGGCCTCCCCCTCCCCAAAATCAGCACCCGGGGTGGGGGCCTCCCCCTCCCCAAATCGGGGTGCTGCCCACCCTGGGTGGGTGCCTCTGCCTCCCCAAAATCAGCACCCGGGGTGGGGGCCTCCCCCTCCCCAAAATCAGCACCTGGGGTGGGGGCCTCCCCCTCCCCAAATCGGGGTGCTGCCCACCCATTTGGATGTCAGTGCAGAGAGAGGGTTCCTGGCCCTCCCAGGTTGAGTCTCCCCCCCAAAAAAAAAACCCACCATTTAGGAGCCCTTTCCTCAAAGATTTCCATATTTTACTATTTAACCCCCCAAACACCCTTTTGGGGCCATTTCCTCAAAGATTTCCATGTTTTCCCTGTTTAACCCCCCAAACACCCTTTTGGGGCCATTTCCTCAAAGATTTCCATATTTTACTATTTAACCCCCTCCAAACCCCCCTTTTGGGAACTATTTCCTCAAAGATTTCCATGTTTTCCCTGTTCAATCCCCCAACCCCTGTTTTGGGAGCCCTTTCCTCAAGGATTTCCATACTTTGCTATTTAACCCCCCCCAAACCCCCTTTTTGGAACCATTTCCTCCAGGATTTCCACGTTTCCCCCAAACCCCCATTTTGGAACTGTTCCCTCCAGGATTTCCGTGTTTTCCCTGTTTGACCCCCCCTCCCCACGCCCCCAAACCCCCACTTTGGAACCATTCCCTCCAGGATTCCCATATTTTGCTATTCAACACCCCCCCAAAACACCATTTGGGAGCCCTTTCCTCAAGGATTTCAATGTTTAACCCCCCCCTCCCGCCCCCGTTTCGGAGCCATTCCCTCAAAAATTTCCGCGTTTTCCCCCTTTTACCCCCCCCGACCGCCATTTTCGGAGCCTGTTCCTCAATTATTCCCGTTTTTCGGCGTCTGCCAGGGGACCCGGGGGATCCTGGCCACCTCCACGCGGCCTCCCTGCAGCGCCTGGTGCTGCTGTCCCACGGGCACGGGCAGGAGTGCGGCTTCGTGCCCGACGTGCGGCCGCGGGCGCCGGGCAGCGCCGAGCCCCTGGTCTGGGAGTGCGTGGCCGGGCACCGCTTCTCCTGGGGGGGGCCCGGGGGGGCCGGGACACCCCCACGAGCACCCCCGGGAGCCCCCCCGGGGCCGGGAGACCCCGAGGAGGAGGAGGAGGAGGAGGAGGAGGAGGAGGAAGGGGGGCATGGCGGGGCTGGGGGCACAGGTGAGCTCCCCCCCCCACTTTGGGGTCACCTCTGTGCCCTCAGCACCCCCCGGGTCCCCCCCAGCACCCCCCAACCCCATCCCGCTCCAGGGGGCTCGTCCCACTGGGATCAGGGGTTGGGACAACCCTGGGGCCCTTCCCCGCCCTCCGTCCTCACCCTCCTCCTCCTCCTCTTCCTCTCATGGCCCCCCCATCACCCTCCTGACCCCTTCCAGCCCCCTCCTGTCCCCCCCATCACCCCCTGACCCCTTCCAGCCCCCTCCTGTCCCCCCCATCACCCTCCTGTCCCCCTTGCAGCCCCCCCATCACCCCCCTGTCCCCACCAGCACCCATCACCCCCCTGTCCCCCCCCGACCCCCCCCTGTCCTCCCCCCATGACGCCCCCCCCCTGTCCCCTTCCATCCCGCGCCCAATCACCCACCCACGCCCACACACCCCTGTCCACTTGCAGCCCCCCCCGAACCCCACCGACCCCCCGGTCCCCACCCCATGACCCCCCCCGTCCCCCGTCCATCCCACCCATGACCCCACCCTGTCCCCCCCTCACCCCCTGTCCCCCCCCGCCCCCTGACCCCCCTCCCCTTGCAGGCCCCCCCCCTGACCCCCACTGTCCCCCGTGCACAACAGCCCCCCCCTGACCCCCCTGTCCCCTTGCAGCCCCCCAGGTGCCCCCCGAGCCGTCCCCCGTGGCAGCAGCGGGCGGGAGGTGAGTGGTGACCCCCCCAAATTGTCCCCTTTGGCCCCTTTGTCCCCCTCCCAGACTGACCCCCCCCCGTGTCCGTGTCCTGCAGCTCCAGCCCCGGGAAGGAGCCCGGGAAGGAGCCCCGGGAGCAGCAGGAGCAGCAGGAGCAGGAGGAGGAGGAGGAGGAGGAGGAGGAGGAGGAAGGTGACCTGACCTACAGCGATGACCTGAGGGACCAGAGCTACCACCCGGGCAGGTGAGGGCCCAGTACAGACCAGTCAGGCACTGGGAGCTCTCAGGCTCCTCCTCTGTGTCCCAGTACAGACCAGTGAGGCACTGGGAGCCTGTTGGGATCCTCCTCTGTGTCCCAGTACAGACCAGTGAGGCACTGGGAGCCTGTTGGGATCCTCCTCTGTGTCCCAGTACAGACCAGTCAGGCACTGGGAGCCTGTTGGGATCCTCCTCTGTCCCAGTACAGACCAGTGAGGCACTGGGAGCCTCACCCACCCCATTTATCCCCCAAACCCCCCCTCCCACCCCATTTCTCCCCCCCAGTGACCCCGAGCCCCCGTCCCGGCCGAGCCGCCCCCGGGCCCGCGGGAAGGAGAAGGAGAAGCCCCCCCAGGAGCCCCCCCAGGAGGAGGAGCAGGAACAGCCCCCCCTGGAGCCCCCCCGGGACCCCCCCGAGGAGAGGAGCGGCCGGGGGTGAGTCAGGGGGGTCCCAGTGGGGAGGGGGGTTTGGGGTCACAGAGGGAGCATTTGGGGGTCACAGAGGGAGCATTTTGGGGTCACAGGGGGAGCATTTTGGGGTCACCAAGGGGAGTGTTTTGGGGTCACAGAGGGAGCATTTGGGGGTCACAGAGGGAGTGTTTTGGGGTCACAGGGGGAGCATTTTGGGGTCACAGAGGGAGCATTTTGGGGTCATGGTGGGGAGAGTTTTGGGGTCACCGGGGGAGCATTTTGGGGTCACCAGGGGGGAGCATTTTGGGGTCACAGAGGGAGCATTTTTGGGGTGTTCTGGGGGGGGTTTCTGGCACTGAGGGACCCGCTGGGACCACCCGAAGGTGGGCGAGTGTTGAGGGCAGGGCACGAGCCTCGTGTCCCCAAGGGGGGGGACCAGTGGCCACAGGGGCCGAGCCTCGTGTCCCCAAGGGGGTGGCCACTGTCCCCATGACCCCACTGGCCACCACGGGGCAGACCCGTGTCCCTGGGCCTGGTTTGGGTGTCCAGCACCCAAATTTGGGGGGATTTTGGCTCCCTGACCTCTCTGGGGGGGGGATCCCCAACCCCTGTGACCCTCCTGGGGAGCCAGGAGGGGCCGAGGGGGGCGAGGGATGGGGACAAAGACCCCCCCCAGCCCCAAATCCGTGGATCCCGGCTCAGAATTCCCTGGGTTTGGGGCTAAATGAGCCCAAATCCCTCCCTGGGGGGGGGGTCTCTGCTGGGCTGGGGGCTGCTCTGGAGCTCTGACACCCCTGCACGGATTTTCTGACACTTCCAAGACATCAAAGGGGTTGAAATCCCCTTTTTCCAACATTTCCAACACATCCAAGGGGTTGAAATCCCCTTTTTTCCGACGCTTCCAACGCTTCCAAGGGGTTGAAATCCCCTTTTTTCGGCCCAGCCCCGTCCCCAGGTGAGTCCTTTGCTGCTCCCATCGACCTTTTCCCCCCCCCGAGGGGCATCACCCCCGGGATTTCGGGAAGGGGCCACCAAAGCCCAGCCTGAGCTTCAGCTTTGGGGGCAGGGATTGTATTTTTAACCATTTCCATTAATTTTTCTCCCAGGAGGTGGAAAATGGAGATAAAATCCTGATTTCTGAGCGGAGCAAGAACTTCCAGCCCATCCTGGGGGTTCCTCCTCTTCTCCCTCCCCCAGGTAAAGTCAACCCTGAGCTGATAAAAAACCCCTTTTTGACCCATTTGGGACCCAAATCCCCAAAAAAAACCCCTTTAATCCATTTTTTTTAACGGATCTTCCCTCAATTCCAGGGACACCTCAGTTCCAGGGGGAGCTGGGGATGAATTCTGGATCGATCCAGGCTGGGATCTTCGTCCTGGGATTGCAGCCAAAGCTTGGGAATGGATTTTTTTGGGAACAAATAAAGGATTTATTCCCCCCCTTTTCGACTCCTGAGCCGTGTGTTTGTTCCAGCACCTCCTGCTCCCGAGGGATGGGGAAAAATGGGAGGGGAAAAAGAGAGAACTGATGGATTTAAAGTGGGATTTCCTTGGGAATTTCCTGGTGGGACAAGGAGGGGACAAGGAGGGGACTCATCCAGGTTTTTCCCGTTGCAGCTGCCGGAGGAGGACGCAGGGGAAGGACGAGGAGGAGGCTCAGATCGGCCCCAAAAGGATCAGGTACCCAAAAAAATGGGATGGGAAGGGGCTGGAGGAGCTCCCGGGGCTCTTCCCGGCCCCAAAAGGATCAGGTACCCAAAAAAATGGGATGGGAAGGGGCTGGAGGAGCTCCCGGGGCTCTTCCCAACCCCTGGGGAGGACGAGGAGCAGCTCCAGGGAAGGTTTTAGGGGGGGGGAAAAGAGGGAGCAGCTCCAAGGGGAGAAGGAAAAGAGGGAAAGGGGGTGAGGAGGGTGGAGGAGGGGGCCAGAGGGGCGTCCCAAAGGTTTTCCAGCCCCGCCCTGGGAAGGGTTTTCCCGGTTTTTGGTTTCCCCAGGAAGGCGGCGAAGCGCGAGATCCTCCTCTGCGACTTCGAGGGCTGCGGGAAAATCTTCTCCAACCGCCAGTACCTGAACGTGAGACCCCCAAACCTGCCCGAAACCCACCCAAAACCACTCAAATTCCACCCAAAACCACCCAAATCCCACCCAAAACTACCAAAAATCAGCCAAAACCTGCCCCAAACCCGCCCAAACCCCACCCGAAACCACTCAAAAACTGCCCAGACCCCCCCAAACCCCCCCAAAACCCACCGAAAACCACTGAGAACCACCCAAACCCCACCCTGGGCCCCCCTGGGGCCGGGATTTGGGATCTGAGGAGGGTTTTTCCTGATCCTGCAGCACCACCAGAAGTACCAGCACGTGCACCAGAAAACCTTCACCTGCCCCGAGCCCTCCTGCGGGAAATCCTTCAACTTCAAGAAGCACCTCAAGGAGCACCAGAAGCTGCACAGCGGTGAGGGGGACACTCCAGAGGGATCCCAGGACATTCCAGAGGGATCCCAGGGGATCTGATCCCGGTGCCTTTCCCCCCCCAGACCAGCGGGATTTCATCTGCGAGTTCTGCGCCCGCTCCTTCCGCACCAGCAGCAACCTCCTCATCCACCGGCGCATCCACACCGGGGAGAAGCCCCTCCAGTGAGTCCCAGTCCCATCCCTGTCCCTCCCAGTGAGTCCCAGTCCCATCCCTGTCCCTCCCACTGAGTCATTCCCACCATCCCAGTAAGTCCCAGTCCTTGCTGCTCCCTGTGTTCCCTGAGCCCCATCCCTCTGTATCCCTATTTCCCTGAGCCCCATCCCTATTTCCCTGAGCCCCATCCCTGTTCCCTGAGCCCCATCCCTGTCAATCCCTGTTCCCTGAGCCCCATCCCTATTTCCTGAGTCCTCCCCTGTTCCCTGAGCCCCCTCCTTGTCAATCCCTATTTCCTGAGCCCCATCCCTGCCAATCCCTATTCCCTGAGTCCCATCCCCGTTCCCTGTTCCCCATCCCTGTTCCCTGAGCCCCATCCCTGTTCCCTGTTCCCCATCCCTGTTCCCTGAGCCCCATCCCTGTTCCCTGTTCCCCATCCCTATTTCCTGAGCCCCATCCCCGTTCCCCAGGTGTGAGATCTGCGGGTTCACGTGCCGCCAGAAGGCCTCCTGAGCCCCATCCCTGTCAATCTCTGTTCCCTGAGCCCCATCCCTGTTCCCTGAGCCCCATCCCTGTTCCCTGTTCCCTATCCCTATTCCCTGAGCCCCATCCCCATTCCCCGTTCCCTGTTCCCCCCCAGGTGTGAGATCTGCGGGTTCACGTGCCGCCAGAAGGCCTCCTGAGCCCCATCCCTGTTTCCCCATTCCCATTCCCCGTTCCCTATCCCTATTTCCTGAGCCCCATCCCCGTTCCCTGTTCCCCAGGTGTGAGATCTGTGTTCCCTGTTCCCTATCCCTGTTCCCTGAGCCCCATCCCTGTTTCCCCATCCCTGTTGCCCAGGTGTGAGATCTGCGGGTTCACGTGCCGCCAGAAGGCCTCCTGAGCCCCATCCCTGTTCCCTGTTCCCTATCCCTATTCCCTGAGCCCCATCCCTGTCAATCCCTGTTCCCTGTTGCCCAGGTGTGAGATCTGCGGGTTCACGTGCCGCCAGAAGGCCTCCCTGAACTGGCACATGCGCAAACACGACGCCGACTCCTCGTACCAGTTCCCCTGCGACGTGTGCGGGAAGAGGTTCGAGAAGAGGGACAACGTCACCGCCCACAAGAGCAAGAGCCACCCCGGGGGGGCCCCCAAAGGGACCCCAAAGGCGTTTGGGGGCGGGGGCGTCGGGCAGGACCCGGACACGCCCCGGGGGGGGTCGTAGGGGGGCTCATCCCTTGGTTTGGGGGGGATGGAGGGGCCAGAGGGGACCCCGGGGGCCAAAAACGCAGCAAGGGGGGGAATTCCCGGCTTTTCCGCCAAATCCTGGGGCCAATCCCGGCTTTTCAGCCAAATCCCGGGTGAAATCCCGATTTTTCCATCAAGCCCTGGGGCAAATATCCCAGTTTTCCTGCCAGATCCTGGGTGAAATCCCAGTTTTTTAGCCAAATCTCGGGTGAAACCCCCAATTTTCCATCAAGCCCTGGGGCAAATATCCCAGTTTTCCTGCCAAATCCCGGGTGAAATCCCGATTTTCCCACCGAGCCCTGGGTCAAATCCCGGCTTTTCAGCCAAATCTGGGGTGAAATCCCCAATTTTCCCACCAATCCCACTTTTTCCTGCCAAATCCTGCCACGAGTGGAGCCCGAGGGTGCCAAAACCCCCTAAATAAAGACTTATTTTGGGTAAAAAAAAGCGGGATTTTGCGCCGAGTTTCTGTGGGAAAGAGGCAGAAAAAGGGCTTTGAACCTTCCCTTTAGATTTAAACCTCGAATTTAAAACTTAAATTTCCGTTTAAAACCCGAATTTAAGCCCGAGCCTGAGGTCACAGGTACCTGGAAGCTCCAAGTTGGGATCATTCCCATGGTCCCAAATGATCCCCAAAACCCCCCCGGGAGCAGGAGCAGCTTTTCCTCCTCCCCCAGCACCCAAAAAACCCCCAAATTCCCATTTTTAGGGTGTTTTTGCACAGCAACTTGTATTTATTTCCCCACTAACGGTGACAGGGACACGAAACAGCAGCGGGGGGGGGACAAAGAGGGGGGACAAGAACGAGGTCACACCGAAAAAAAGGGTCCCCCCCCTCCTCCAACCCCCCCCCAGGTCCCAAATGAGCCCCCAAATCCCCTCCAGGTGACCCCAGTTTTGGGGAGGAAATGGGGGAGATTTGGGGGGGGAGTTTGGGGGGGAAATGGGGGAGATTTGGGGAGGAAATGGGGGGGAAATGGGGGAGATTTTGGGGGGGAAATGGGGGAGATTTGGGGGGGAAATTTGGGAGATTTTGGGGGGGAAATGACCACGGGGGGGTCTTTAACCAGCAAGGGAAAAAAGGGATGAGGGGGTCAGGGGGGGCTCAACCAACCCCCCCCCAACAGCCAACGGCCCTGAGGAAGATTTTTGGGGGGGTGAAAAGACTCAAAAAACTCTTTAAATGCAACAAGAGGGGGAAAAAACCCCAAAATTCCCCCCCCCCCCCCTTGCCCCGAGTGGGAGTTTTTTTTTTTTTGGGGGGGGGTCCTGCCTGGAAGCAAAGAAAGGGGTGGGATTGGGGGGGGACACGGGGGGGGACACGGGGGGGACACGGGTGAGCCCTGGCAGGTCCCCGGGGTGTGAAGGAGGAGGAGGAGGAAGGGGAGGAGGAGGAAGGGGAGGAAAAGAGGAGATGGAGGAAAGGCAGGAAGAGGAGAAGGTGGAGGATGAGGAGAGGAGCAGGAGGAAGAGAGGAGGAGGAGAAAGGGAGGAGGAGGAAGAGAAGGTGGAGAGGGAGAAGGAGAAGAAGGGAGGGAGGAAAAGGTGGAGGATGAGGAGAGGAGGAAGAAGGGGAGGAGGACAAGGAGAGGAGGAGGAAGAGAAGGAGGAGAGGAGAAGGAGAAGGGAAGGAGGAGGAGGTGGAGGATGAGGAGAGGAGGAAGAAGGGGAGGAGGAGAAGGACGAGAGGAGGAGGTGAGGAGGAAGGGGACAAGATGGAGAGGGAGAAGGTGAAGAAGGGAAGGAGGAGGAGAGGGAGGAGGAGGAGGAAGGAAGGAGGAGGAGGAGGAAGAGGAGAAGATGGAGAGGGAGAAGGTGAAGAAGGGAAGGAGGAGAGGGAGGAGGAGGAGGAAGAGGGAGAAGGTGAAGAAGGGAAGGAGGAGGAGGAGAAGGAGGAGGGAAGGAGGAGGAGAGGGAGGAGGAGAAGGGAAGGAGGAGGAGGAGAGGGAGGAGGAGGAGGAAGAGGGAGAAGGTGAAGAAGGGAAGGAGGAGGAGGAGAAGGAGGAGGGAAGGAGGAGGAGGAGGAGAGGGAGGAGGAGAAGGGAAGGAGGAGGAGGAAGAGGAGGAAGAGGAGGAGGAGGAGAAGGAGAAGGGAAGGAGGAGGAGGAGGAGGAAGAGGAGCGGCGGTGGCAGCTCGGGCGGGCAGGGGGCGACGCCCTCAGTTGCAGAGGGACAGCGAGGAGCCGACGTAGAAGAGCCAGAAGAAGGGGAAGATCCTCTCGGAGAAGGCGGCGGTGAAGGTGAAGATGGGCGCCATGGTGTCGGCGTTGTAGAAGGCCACCCAGCCGCCCTCGTAGTCCAGGTACACGCCCACCTTGCGCGGCCGCTCGCACAGCGACAGCGGCGTCTCGGGCGAGGTGAACGCCTGGTACTGATCCCAATTCTTGCCCTTCCAGTTGAGCCCCACCGCCCAGATCCCCTCCTCGGGGGCGAAGTCGACCTTCTCCTTGCGCCGCACGGACTCGCGGGCGGCCCCCAGCACCCAGCTCTCGCCGTCGCCCACCTCCACCTCCCAGTAGTGCCTCCCTGCCTGGAAGCCCTCGCAGGCCAGCACGCAGAAGGCGTAGTCGAAGCGCTTGGGGTGCGCCGGCAGCTCCTGCGGGGCCCCGCGCAGGCGCACGCTGCGCTTGTCCTCCGACAGCACCAGGTACGGGTTGGCCGTGTCGGGGTCCAGGGACAGGTCGGCTGGGGAGAGAGGGGGGAAAAAATGGGGTGATTCAGTGTTTGTGCCCCAAACCCAACAGGGGGGTCACTTGTGGGGTCACTGTCCCATGACAGCACCAGGTACGGGTTGGCCGTGTCGGGGTCCAGGGAGAGATCAGCTGGGAAAGAAAGGAAAGGGGGGAAAAAGGGGGTGATTCAGTGTTTGTGCCCCAAACCCAACAGGGGGGTCACTTGTGGGGTCACTTGTGGGGTCACTGTCCTCCGACAGCACCAGGTAGGGGTTGGCCGTGTCGGGGTCCAGGGAGAGATCGGCTGGGGAGAGAGGGGGGATAAAAGGGGGTGATTCAGTGGCTGTGTCCCAAATGGGACAGGGGGGTCACTTGTGGGGTCATTGGGGGTGATTCAGTGGCTGTGCCCCAAATGGGATGGGGAGGATGCAGGGGGGACACAGGGGGGTCACTTGTGGGGTCACTGTCCCACCACAGCACCAGGTAGGGGTTGGCAGTGTTGGGGTCCAGGGACAGGTCAGCTGGGAAGAGAGGGGGGAAAAAAGGGGGTGATCCAGGGTCTGAGTCCCAAATGGGACAGGGGGATCACTTGTGGGGTCACTGTCCTCCGACAGCACCAGGTACGGGTGGGTGGGTGTCGGGGTCCAGGGACAGGTCGGCTGGGGAGAGAGGGGGGAAAAAGGGGGTGATTCAGTGCTGTGCCCCAAACCCAACAGGGGGGTCACTTGTGGGGTCACTTGTGGGGTCACTGTCCCACCACAGCACCAGGTAGGGGTTGGCCGTGTCGGGGTCCAGGGACAGTCAGCTGGGAAGAGAGGGGGGAAACAGGGGGTTGATTCAGTGGCTGTGTCCCAAATGGGACAGGGGAATGACCTGTGGTCCAACTTGTGGGGTCCCTGTCCTCCGACAGCACAGGTACGGGTGGCCGTGTCGGGTGTCCCGGGAACAGGTCGGCTGGGAAAGAAAGGAAAAGGAAAGGGGGGGAAAGGAAAAAAGGGGGTGGATCCGTGTTTGTGCCCCACTGGGATGGGGAGCGCCACAGGGGGGGTCACTTTGGGGTCACTTGTGGGGTCACTGTCCCAACCAACAGCATCCATGTAGGTGGTTTTGGTTTTTGGTGTCGGGGTCCAGGGAAGAGATCAGCTGGGAAGCGAGCGAGGGGGGAAGGACAGGAAAAAGGGTGAGATGTGGGGGTGATCCAGAGTCTGTGCCCCACAGGGGACAGGGGGGACACAGCGGGGGCCCTTGTGGGTCATTGGGGGGTGATCCAGTGTCTGTGTCCCAAAATGGATACGTAGGACACAGAGGGTTCACTTGTGGGGTCACTTTTGGGGTCACTGTCCCACGACAGCACCAGGTACGGGTTGTCGGTGTCGTGGTCCAGGGACAGGTCGGCTGGGAACGAAAGGAAAGGGGGGGAAAACAGGGGGTGCTTCAGTGTTTGTGTCCCAAATGGGACAGGGGGGACACAGATGGGGCATATGTTGGGTCATTGGGGGTGATCCAGGGTCTGTGCCCCAAATGGGACAGGGGGGACACAGGTGGGGTCATTCCCAGAGTCCCAGCCTCCAGTCCCAGCCCATTCCATGGAATCCTTCGGAAGAGGGAGGTCTCAGCCCCCCCAGCCCCAGCCCATTCCATGGAATCCCTTGGAATGGGAGGTCCCAGCCCCCAGTCCCAGCCCATTCCATGGAATCCCTTGGAATGGGAGGTCCCAGCCCCCAGTCCCAGCCCATTCCATGGAATCCCTTGGAATGGGAGGTCCCAGCCCCCCCAGTCCCAGCCCATTCCATGGAATCCCTTTGGAAGAGGGAGGTCCCAGCCCCCAGTCCCAGCCCATTCCATGGAATCCCTTGGAATGGGAGGTCTCAGCCCCCCCCAGCCCCAGCCAATTCCATGGAATCCCTTGGAATGGGAGGTCTCAGCCCCCCCAGTCCCAGCCAATTCCATGGAATCCCTTGGAATGGGAGGTCCCAGCCCCCCCAGTCCCAGCCCATTCCATGGAATCCCTTGGAACGGGAGCTCCTCACCTGTGTCGTTCTCCAGCTCGAAGCGCAGGTTCTCTGCGGGAAGAGAAGGGAGGGATTGAGCCCCCCTGGGAATTCCTGGATCTCCCACCCCACGGGAATGATCCCCACCCCTCACTGCCACCCTCCAATCCCGGGGAAATCCCTCCTTTCCCAGGGAAATCCCTCTGGGATGACCCAACACTTGGAGCTCTCCCGGGGGTGAGGAAGAGCCCGATCCCAGCCCAGCCCTGGTTCTGTTGGAATTCCAGGCGGGATTTTTCCCTGGAATTCCCCTTTTTTCCCCAGGCTCACCCTTGAATTCCAGCAGCACCTCCTTGAGCACTGCACTCTTCTGGGAGAAGCTCTTGAGCTTCTTTTCCAGCTCGGAGAATCCGGGCTCGGGTTTCAGGAACATCCAGCTCTCCAGGCTGAGGAGACAACGGGACTCAGGGAACAAAACCCCCCAAAATCCCGGGAATTTTCCCCGGGAATGTCACTCCCAGTTCACCCAGCAAAGGGCTGGGCCTCACTCACCTGCTGCCAGCCGGGACAACGCCCTGGAAAAGGGGGAAAGAAAACAGGGAATTCCGTCAGGATCGGCCTCGGAGATCCCAAATTCCTGCCCGGAACCAGCCACGAGCCCATGGGTTTGTCTGTCCCCAGCAATGGGGTTCTTTTTGTCCCCACAAAGGGAATTTTTTTTCCCCTCCCCCTCCCATAAATATGGGAATTTTTTGTCCCCCATAAACGGAATTTTTTTGCCCCATGTAAATGGAATTTTTTTTCCCCCATAAATGGAAGATTCTGCCCCCAATAAATGGGAATTTTTTAATTTGCCCCCAATAAATGGAAATTTTTTATCTGCCCCCAGTAAATGGGATTCTGCCCCAAATAAATGGGAATTTTTTATCTGCTCCCAGTAAATGGGATTCTGCCCCAAATAAATGGGATTTTTTTTGCCATGGGGACACATCCCAAGGCTCTCACCCCTCCAGGGCTGTTCCCTATCCCTGTCCCACAGGAACACATCCCAGGGTTCTCACCCCTCCAGGGCTGTTCCCTGTCCCTGCTCCATGGGGACACATCCCAGGGCTGTTCCCTATCCCTGTCCCTGTCCCACAGGAACCCATCCCAGGGCTCTCACCCCTCCAGGGGTGCCCCCTGTCCCACAGGAACACATCCCAGGGCTCTCACCTCTCCAGGAGTGTTCCCTGCTCCATAGAGAGCTCTCACCTCTCCAGGGCTGTTCCCTATCCCTGTCCCTGTCCCACAGGAACCCATCCCAGGGCTCTCACCCCTCCAGGGGTGCCCCCTGTCCCACAGGAACCCATCCCAGGGCTCTCACCTCCCCAGGGCTGTTCCCTGCTCCATGGGGACACATCCCAGGGCTGTTCCCTATCCCTGTCCCACAGGAACCCATCCCAGGGCTCTCACCTCCCCAGGGGTGCCCTCTGTCCCACAGGAACCCATCCCAAGACTGTTCCCTGCTCCATGGGACACATCCCATTGCTCTCACCTCCCCAGGGGTGCCCCCTGCCCCGCTGTCCCCCCCCTGCTCTGCCAGCAGCTTGTCGAGCTGGGCGATGTCCTTGGCCAGGGTTGTTCCAAGGGGACACATCCCAGGGGTATTCCCTATCCCTGTCCCACAGGAACCCATCCCAGGGCTGTTCCCTGCCCCACAGGAACACATCCCAGAGCTCTCACCTCCCCAGGGGTGCCCCCTGTCCCACAGGAACCCATCCCAGAGCCCTCACCTCCCCAGGGGTGCCCCCTGCCCCGCTGTCCCCCCCCTGCTCCGCCAGCAGCTTGTCGAGCTGGGCGATGTCCTCGCTCAGCCTGGCCACGCTCTCGTCGCGCCGGCGCCCGATGTCCCTGTCCAGCTCCTCCAGGCGGGACAGCAGGAGCTGCTCCTTCTCCTCCAGGAAGGCCCGGAGCTCCTTGCACTCGGCCACGATCTTCTGCCGCTCCACCTCCGTCTGCTTCTGCACTTCCAGGGGGGAAAAAACGGCCGTGGGGTGGGAGCCGACGGGGAGAGGGACACGGGGGAGGCTGAATCCCCGTGGGCAGGGGGTCAGGGAACCCGGGAGAGGCTGAATTCCTGTGGGAAGGGGGCTTGGAGAATCCAGGAGAGGCTGAATCCCCGTGGGCAGGGGGTCAGGGAACCCAGGAGAGGCTGAATTCCCATGGGCAGGGGGTCAGGGAATCCAGGAGAGGCTGAATTCCCGTGGGCAGGGGGTCAGGGAATCCAGGAGAGACTGAATTCCTGTGGGAAGGGGGCTCGGGGAACCCGGGAGAGACCGAATTCCCGGGGCTGGGAAGCTCCAGGTGATGCTGAATCCCCTTGGTCAGGAGAATCCCCCCAGGAGAGATGGAATTCCCATGGTCAGGGGGCTCAGGGAATCCAGGAGATGAATTCCCATGGGCAGGGGGCTCAGGGAATCCAGGAGATGAATTCCCGTGGGCAGGGGGCTCAGGGAATCCAGGAGATGAATTCCCGTGGGCAGGGGGCTCAGGGAATCCAGGAGATGAATTCCCATGGGCAGGGGCTCAGGGAATCCAGGAGAGACCGAATTCCTGGGGCTGGGAAGCTCCAGGTGAGACCAACTCCTCAGGGCTGGGAATCCCAAGGAAGGAGCAGATCCTGAGGAATGGGGGGCTCAGGGAACCCCAAGGAAGGAGCAGATCCTGAGGAATGGGGGGCTCAGGGAACCCCAAGGGAGGAGCAGATCAGAGGAATGGGGGGCTCAGGGAACCCCAAGGGAGGAGCAGACCCTGAGGAAGGGGGGGCTCAGGGAATCCTAAGGGAGGAGCAGATCCTGAGGAATGGGGGGCTCAGGGAACCCCAAGGAAGGAGCAGATCCTGAGGAAGGGGGGGCTCAGGGAACCCCAAGGAAGGAGCAGACCCTGAGGAATGGGGGGCTCAGGGAATCCCAAGGGAGGAGCAGACCCTGAGGAATGGGGGGCTCAGGGAATCCCAAGGGAGGAGCAGACCCTGAGGAATGGGGGGCTCAGGGAACCCCAAGGGAGGAGCAGACCCTGAGGAATGGGGGGCTCAGGGAACCCCAAGGAAGGAGCAGACCCTGAGGAATGGGGGCTCAGGAATCCCAAGGAGGCGCAGATCCGAGGAAGGGGGGTGGCTCAGGGACCCCAAGAAGGAGCAGACCCTGAGGCCTGGGGGCCAGGGAATCCCAAGGAAGGAGCCGATCCTGCGGAAGGGGGGGCTCAGGAACCCAAGGGAGGAGCAGACGCTGAGGAATGGGGGGCTCAGGGAACCCCAAGGAAGGAGCAGATCCCGAGGAAGGGGGGGCTCAGGGAACCCCAAGGAAGGAGCAGATCCTCAGGGCTGGGAACCCCAAGGGAGGAGCAGATCCAGAGGAAGGGGGGGCTCAGGGAACCCCAAGGGAGGAGCAGACCCTGAGGAAGGGGGGGCTCAGGGAATCCAAAGGAAGGAGCAGACCCTGAGGAAGGGGGGGCTCAGGGAACCCCAAGGAAGGAGCAGACCCTGAGGAAGGGGGGGCTCAGGGCCCCCCTGACTCACCAGCAGCTCCTCACTCTGCCGCTCCCGCTCGGCCTTGGCCTCCTCCCGCCCTTTCCTCAGGGAGCTCAGGTGCTCCTGGGGCACCTCCTGGAAGCAGAACGAGGGCAGTTCTTGGCAATTCTTGGCAATTCTTGGCCTGGGGGTGTCCCTGCTGTGCTGCTGCTGCTGCTAAAACGGCCCAAATCCCCCGACCTGGGGGTTTCTGGGAAGGGCAGGACCCCCCTGCCCTGCTCCCCCCTCCTCGACCCCGACCTCGGGATGTGCCAAATCTTCCCTAAAACCACCCAAACCGGCCCAAAAAAAAATTCAATTAGAGAATCAGAGCTAATTTTAACTGCCTGTGGAAAAAACAACCCCCCAGGTCCCACCCCCACCCCCCTGAGGTGTCCCAAAATCAGGCTGAGCCCCCCCCAAAAAGAGGAGGGGCCGCCGCCTCCGGGCTGCTCGTTAAATTAATTCATTATTAATCAATTAAAGGCGTCCTGGTTTAAGTGGTTTGACCTCCACGGAGGGTGGGGGGGCAAATAAACCCATTTATTTCATAAATAACCCCCCCAAAACAGAGGGGTTTTGGGGCTGTTGGAATTCATCCGTGAGATTAAAGCAAATTATTGGGATTAAAAAAATTGGGGGTGGTGGGAGGAGCTTGGCAACAACACTAAAAATTCATAAAAATAGGTTATTGAGGCAAAAAAAAAAAACCCAGAGAGAGCATCAGCCCCAGGCCCTAAAAAAGGGTAAAAAAAACCCCAAGAGAGAGCACCTAAAAATGTTAAAAAACCCTGAGAGCACCTAAAAATGTTAAAAAAACCCTGAGAGAGAGCACCTAAAAATGTTAAAAAAACCCTGAGAGAGCACCTAAAAAAGGGTAAAAAAACCCCAAGAGAGAGCATCTAAAAAAGGGTAAAAAAAACCCAAGAGAGAGCATCTAAAAATGTTAAAAAAACCCCAAGAGAGAGCACCTAAAAAAGGGTAAAAAAAACCCAAGAGAGAGCATCTAAAAATGTTAAAAAAACCCCAAGAGAGAGCACCTAAAAAAGGGTAAAAAACCCCCGAGAGAGCACCTAAAAAAGGGTAAAAAAAACCCCAAGAGAGAGCACCTAAAAAAGGGTAAAAAAAAACCCAGAGAGAGCACCTAAAAATGTTAAAAAAACCCCAAGAGAGAGCACCTAAAAATGTTAAAAAAAACCCAAGCGAGAGCACCTAAAAAAGGGTAAAAACCTGAGAGAGCACCTAAAAAAGGGTAAAAAAACCCCAAGAGAGAGCACCTAAAAAAGGGTAAAAAACCCTGAGAGAGAGCACCTAAAAAAGGGTAAAAAAACCCCTGAGAGAGCACCTAAAAAAGGGTAAAAAAAACCCAGAGAGCACCTAAAAAAGGGTAAAAAAAAACCCCCAGAGAGCACCAGCCCGGGCCCTAAAAGAGGGCAAAAAATCGCTTTTTTTTGTGCCCCCCGGAAGAGGAACCGCGGCAGTTCCGGGAGCGAATCGTTATCCCGGGACTTAATGACCGCTAATTAACACTCTGCGGTGGTTAATGACCTAACGATCCAACTCCCCCCCCTCCTGGTGCCACCCCCGCGTGTCCCCCCCCCTTCCTCCTCCTCCTCCTCCTCCCTGCGCAGCGACATCAGCCCCGTCCGGCATCTTGGATCCCTTTGGATCCCTCGGGATCGGCCGCTCCCGGTCCCTCCAGGGCTCATTAACCCCCTCCTGGCTAATTAATCGCGACGGGGAACGCGGGACCCCCCCCCTATCGCGACAGGGGCTGCCGGGGGGGGGCCGGGGCCGTTCTGCGTCACTTGAGGGGGCAAAGGGGGGTCCGGGGGGGCCAATTCCAGCCGGGATGGGGTTGGGAGGGGGTAAATACCCCCCCCCCTTCCCCAGTGTCCTCCCAGTTCAACCCAGTTTGCACTGGGATGGTGCTCCACTGACATCCCCCCCCAGGAGGGTCCCTGTTTTGGGGGGATTTGAGTCCCTTTTCCCCCCCATATCCTGGGGAAAAGGGGGATCCCCAAATCCTGAGTGGGGTCCCCAAATCCTGAGGGGGGTCCCCAAATCCTGAGGGGGGTCCCCAAATCCTGGAGGGGTCCCCACTGCACCCCCCCCTTCAGAGGGTCCCAGTTTTGGGGGGATTTGAGTCCCTTTTCCCCCAAATCCTAGAGAAAAGGGGGGTCCCCAAATCCTAGGGGTGTTCCCACTGCTCTCTCTCTCCACAGAAGGGGGGTCCTGCGCCCCAAAAAGATCCCTCGGAGCTGAGGGGGGGGGGGGTTCCTCATTGCCCCCCAACATCTCGGGGGTGCTCTCGTTGCTCTCCCTCCCCAGGGAAGGAATCCTGCACCCCAAAAAGATCCCTGGGAGCAGGAGGGGGTTCCTCATTGCCCCCCAACGTCCCGGGGGTGCTCCCATTGCTCTCCCTCCTCGGGAAAGGGTTCTGCACCCCAAAAAGATCCCTGGGAGCTGGGGGGTGTCGCCACTGCTCTCCCTCCCCCGGGGGATGTTCTGCACCCCAAAAAGATCCCTGGGAGCAGGAGGGGTTTCCTCATTGCCCCCCAACGTCCCGGGGGTGCTCCCATTGCTCTCCCTCCCCCGGGGAGGGAATCCTGCACCCCAAAAAGATCCCTGGGGGCGGGAGGGGGTTCCTCATTGCCCCCCAACATCCCGGGGGTGCTCCCACCGCTCTCCCTCCCCCGGGGGGGATCCCGCACCGGGGGTGTGTGTGTGTGTGTGTGTGTCCCCCCTCCCCGCACTGACCTCGGCGGCGTGGGCCGCCTCCTCGGCGGGCAGGACGGTGTGCGCTCGGTGCTCCCGGGACAGGTGGCACACCACGCACACGGCCCGCCGGTCCTGCACGCAGTAGAGCCGCAGCGGCTCCCCGTGGCGAGGGCACCGCGGCGGGCCCGGAGGCCCGGGCGGGGCGGCGGCGGGCACGGGGAGGGCGGGCGCGGGCGGGCCCGGCGGCGCCTCGGCGGGTCCCGGCGGCAGCCCGAGCTGGCGGACGATGTGCACGATGTTGCCGAGGGAGCGGTTGGGGCGGAAGAGGCGCTGCGGGACCGGCTCGCGGCACTGCGGGCAGCACAGGCGGCGCGCCGAGTCCTCCCAGCACTGGGTCACGCAGGCGCGGCAGAAGTTGTGCCCGCACTCGGCCACCAGCACCGGGTCGTTGAAGTACTCCAGGCACACGGGGCACGTCAGCTCGTCCTGCAGGCTCCGCGCCGCGCTGCAGGGCGCCGGGGGAGCGGCGGGGGGCGCGGGCGGCGCCTCCATGGCGGCCGCGGCCCCGGCCGAGGGCCCGGCCCCGCTGGCGGTCCCGGTCGTGGCGTCGGTGGCGGCGGCGGCTCCCGCGCGCGTCCCTCCCGTCCGCTCCGCGCGGCGCCGCCCGCGCGACTGGCGGCCCCGGGGGCGGGGCCGCGCCTGCGCGCAGAGGGGCGGGGAGGCGTGGCGGAGGGGACGAGTGGGCGTGGTTAGACCCACCCGCGGCGGCGATTGGGAGGGGTCGCGCGTGATAACGAGGCGGGTGGGCGGGGCTATGACCGTAGATGGGGAAAGGGGGGCGTGGAAAAAAAAAAAAAAAGGCGAGGCCGCGCCGCCCGCCCGCCCGCTGGGGGGCGCTGTGCACGCGCGCGGGGGGTCACGTGGGGCGAGGGGTGTCACGTGGGGTGGGGGGGCGATGCCCATAGGGTTCTATGGGAGGGGCTTTTTGGGGGTCTCTGTGGGATCGAGGGGGGTATGAGGGGTCTGTAGGGTGGGGGGAGTCACCAAGAGGCTGCTGAGAGAGGAGGGGGTTCCTAGAGGTGTCAGGGGGAGCCCGGATGTCTGGGTCCTTATAGAATAAACGGGGGGTATAGATGCCTGTGGGATGTTTTTTGGGGGGGTCCCTGTGGGATTAGGGGGGGTGCATTGGGGTCCGTAAATTGGTTTGGGGGTTCCCTATGGGATTTGGGGAAGTGTATTTGTGTCTACAGGATGTTTTGGGGGGTCCCTGTGGGATTAGGGGTGGGGGTGAATTAGGGTCTAAAAGGTGGTTTGGGGGTTCCCTGTGGGATTGAGACGGTGTATTTGGGTCCACAGGATGTTTTGGGGAGAGAGGAGGGTTTTGGGGTGGTTTTCCCAGTATTGGCCTCTGTGCCGTGTCCCCATGAGCATCACAGAGCCGCTCCAGGAACCTGGGCTGAGGGGAGAATGACCCAAAACCTCCAGATGTACAGAAATTACCCCAAACCCCCGCTACGCCTACTCATCGGGCCTTTCCCGAGGGATTTAGGGATTTAAATCCCTGCTGGGAGCTCCCTTCTCTATGATGCGGACAGAGAGGATTCGACACCGACCGTTTCCTTGCTTTTCTTTACGCCGTCCTCGCTGCCCCCCCGATGAAATCGGCTTTCGGGGGAGGAAAATATCTGCGGGAGGCGTCGCTGCGGGGTCGGGGAGCGCAGAAATCGGGCTGAAAAACGGCTAATTCGGGGTCAGGAGGGAAGGTGCCCTCTTCCAAAATGGCGGCGCCGCCCTCAGGCGGGGCGCGAGGGAAAATGGCCGCGCCCTCCCCGTCCCCGTTGCCGCCAGCGGGGCCCGGCTCAAGATGGCGCCCGCAGGCGAAGCCCTGCCCGCCATCTTGGGTGAGGGCGGCCGCCGGCGTTGCCATGGCGACGGGGCCCTGTCTAGGCCTTCCAAAGGCCGCTGTGGCCCCGGGGAGGGGGAAAACGCGAATTTTGGGGGCTCCGAACTCCTCGTGGGGAGTACTAAGAGGTGCTAAGAGGACTAAGAGGCGTTTCAGAGGTGCTTCTCGTCCCGGTGAGAGAAACCCCTATTTTTTACCCCAAAATGAGCCCCTTTCCCCACTGTGAAGGCGCAGCACTGGGGGGGGTCCTGCAGCCCCTCAGCCCCGTCCCCTCAGACCACAGGGGCTACACCACCCTCAGCACCCACCCCCCCCGCTCCAAAGTCAGGCGATTTTGCCCCAAAACGGTCCCCGATGTGTTTATCACCGATAAATTCAAGGGGTCCCAACGAGGGGCTCCGCAGCCCCCCACACACACAAAGTGACTCGGGGGGGGCTCATCCCCAAGTCCTTGGGCTTGTCCTCAAGCCGAGTTTCCGCTCGGGGCACCGTCCTTCCTCCCCATCCGTCACTCTAAGGGAGGGTCTTGGTCCTTCAGGGGGTCTCGGCCCCTCAGGGCTCCTCCGTCACTCCAAGGGAGGGTCCCGGTCCTTCAGGGGGTCTCAGCCCCTCAGGGCTCCTCTGTCACTCCAAGGGAGGGGTCTCGGTCCTTCAGGGGGTCTCGGTCCTTGAAGGGGTCTTGGCCCCTCAGGGCTCCTCCGTCACTCCAAGGGAGGGGTCTTGGTCCTTCAGGGCGTCTCAGCCCTTCAGGGGGTCTCGGCCCCCGAGGCCTCCTCGGCGCCGTGAGCTCCCGGTGAGTCCGTGATGACTTGGGGCTCGTCCCCGACCTGGGGCCGGGTCCCGGCGAGGGGTGGCCCTGCGGCCTTGTGGAGGTGGCTGCGGCGGTGCTTGGCGAGGTGGGAGGCCTGGCTGAAGGCCTCGCCGCACTCGGGGCAGCCGAAGGGCCTCTCTCCGGTGTGGACGCGCCGGTGGCGCTCGAGGTGCGAGGCCCAGGCGAAGCCCTTCCCGCAGAGGCCGCAGGCGAAGCCCTTGCGGGCGGCGTGGCCGCGCTGGTGCGCCAGGAACGGGGCGGCCTCGCCGAAGCGCTTCCCGCAGTCGCCGCACTTGTAGGGCCGGTCGGGCGAGTGGGTCTTGCGGTGCTGCAGCAGGTGGGCCTTCTGGGCGAAGCGCCCGCCGCAGCTGCCGCAGGGGAAGGGCCGCTCGCCGGTGTGGACGCGCCGGTGCCGCTCGAGGTGCGAGGCCCACACGAAGGCCTTGCCGCAGTCGGCGCAGCGGTGCGAGCGCTCGGGCCGGTGGTGGCGGCGCTGGTGCCGCGCCAGCGCCGGCCCGGCGCGGAACAGCCGCCCGCAGTGGCCGCAGCGCAGGGCCCGCCGGCCCAGGTGGGCGCCCCGGTGCCGCGCCAGCTCCGCGCTCTGCCGGAAGGTCTTGCCGCAGGCCGGGCAGCGGTGAGGCCGCTCGGCGGCGGCGGAGTGGCCGCGCCGGTGCTTGGCCAGGTGGGAGGCCTGGCTGAAGCGCTCGCCGCACTCGGCACAGCCGAAGGGCCGCTCGCCGGTGTGGACGCGCCGGTGCCGCTCGAGGTGCGAGGCCCAGGCGAAGGCCTTGCCGCAGTCGCCGCAGCGGTGGGGCCGCGGGGCCGCGCCGGCGAAGCGCTGGCCGCCGCCCCGGCCTCCCCGGTGCGGGCGGTCGCCGGCGTGGCCGCGCCGGTGCTGCCGCAGGTGCGAGCTCTGGCTGTAGGTCTCGCCGCACTCGGGGCAGCCGAAGGGCCTCTCCCCGGTGTGGACGCGCCGGTGCCGCTCCAGGTGGGAGGCCCACGGGAAGCTCTTCCCACAGTCGGCGCAGCCGAAGGGCCGATCCCGGCACGGCCCCTCCTCGGGCTCGGGTTTGGGCACCGCCGCCGGGGTTCCGGGGGGCACGGCCCGGTCCGGGCGCTTGGCTTTGCGCCGGTGGGAGCCGAGGGGCTTCTCCCGCTCCGAGACCGCCCCCGGACCCTCGGCGGGCTCGGCTGCTCCGGCGTCTTCCACCGCCGCCTTTTCGCTCAGCAGCCCCTGAGCTGCTGGGAGAGGGAGGAAGAAGAGAGAGGAGGAGGAGGAGAAGGAGGGAAACGGGAGTGAGCGGCCCCCAGAGGAACGAGGGTGGGGTGGAAATCCAGGGAGCAGCAACAGGATTCCCCCTAAAACTGGAGGAGGGAGGGAGATGTGGCAGCAGGAGCTGATCCCAGTTCCGGCTGGATTTCCAGTTTAAATGAGGGGAGATCAAAATAATGTTCTCCTGAGGGAAAAGGAATTAAGGAGAGGGCTGGGGGGGGGTTGGGAAATCTCCCTAAAAACCCACCCGGATCCCCCCCATCCCCTCTTCCCATGGGAGCTCGGAGAGGAGAGCAGGGAAAGAGGAATTCAGGGGGTTTTTACCCAGGGACAGGAGGGTCTCGTAGAGGAGAGGAGAGCAGGGAAAGAGGAATTCAGGGGGGTTTTTTTACCCAGGGACAGGAGGGTCTCGGAGAGGAGAGCAGGGAAAGAGGAATTCAGGGGGGTTTTACCCAGGGACAGGAGGGTCTCGGAGAGGAGAGCAGGGAAAGAGGAATTCAGGGGGTTTTTTACCCAGGGACAGGAGGGTCTCGTAGAGGAGAGGAGAGCGGGGAAAGAGGAATTCGGGGGGTTTTACCCAGGGACAGGAGGGTCTCGTAGAGGAGAGGAGGGAAAGAGGAATTCGGGGGGGTTTTTTTACCCAGGGACAGGAGGGTCTCGTAGAGGAGAGCAGGGAAAGAGGAATTCAGGGGGGTTTTTTTACCCAGGGACAGGAGGGTCTCGTAGCTCTCGTGCATCACGTCCCGGTACAGCTCCTTCTGCCGCGGGTCCAGCGGCGCCCAGGGCTCCATGGCGGGAGAACGATCCCAAAAATCGCCTGCCTGGGGGGGGGGGGGGGGAATATCCCCCGACACGGAGGAATTTCTCCCCTCCGGTGCTTCCTGCTTTTTTGACTTCCAGAAATATCGGGGGTTCCGCGACGTTCCCTCCCTCCCTCCAGGACTAATCCCGAGCTCGGTGGGAACAGGGGAAGGGGGTTCGAGGGTCGCTGCTTGCCCCCCACCCTTCCCACGGACCGCATCCCATGGGAACCTCCGCCTCCCGGTCCTCCCAGTCCTCCCAGTCCCCCCAGTCACTCCCAGTCCCCCCAGTCACTCCCAGTCCCACTCCCACCGGGGCGATGTGACCCCTGGAGGGGGGAGCTGGGCTGTGGATCCCAAACCCTCTCCATCCCCTTTCTCCATTGTCCTCTCCTTGGGAACATCCCCCAGGGGCTCATCCTGCCCGCCCAGGACCCTCCTGGGCACCGGGACCCCCCCTCGGCTCCCCCTCCCCCGTTACCTGCCGATCCCGGAGCCGCTTCCACGGGGGTTTCCTTGGGGAAAAGGCTCCTCCCTTCCCAGGCGGGACCCCCGGGGACCCCCCAGGACCTCAAATCCCCCCCCTCGGCAGGACACAAAGGGGGGTTTCGGGCCGGGTTTGAGCTCCGGAAACCCGGAGCCGGTATCCGGGAGGGAGGAGATGCCGAGAGGAGCAGCCGAGCTCGCTCACCCAGAGCCCTCTAGAGGTAACTCAACCATCAGCCCCCCCAAAAAAAACCTCCCACGGGCCCCCCCGGCACCGTGCGGGGCTCAGGGGACCCCGCCCCGCTCCGGCTCCATCACCCCGATGGACCCTCCCGGGTGGGACCCGAGGAATTTGGGGACCCCCGGCAGGGTCGGGGTGGGAAAGGTGGGAAGGGGCTCTCCGGGACAACCCCCCCCCAGGCCGGGCTGGGGGTCCTGGGGCAGCGGGACACCCCCCCCCCCGGTGGTACCCGAGAATTTGGGGACCCCCGACCCTGCTGGGGAGGGGTCGGGAGAGCAGGGACAGGGTGGGAAATATGGGAAATATGGGAAGGGGATCTCCGGGACACCCCCCAGCCCGGGATGGGGGTCCTGGGGCAGCGGGACACCCCCCCCCCCTCCCGGTGGGTGAGCCAAAAATCCGCTGTTCCAGGGAAAAAGAGGGGAAAAAAGGCGAATCCGGAGGCGCCGGAGCCGCGGGACCCCCCCCCCACCCCGGGTGGGAAAGGTCCTCCCCCCCCGGAGACGACGGTCCCGAAGGGAATCCCGCGAGTCACCAAAATCCCGGGATTTTGGGGGGTCCAGGGGTGGAACCCCCCCCAGCATCCTTTGGGATCCCTCAAATCCCGGGATTTTTCCCCCCCCCCCCCCCGTTTCAGGGTCCCGTGGGATTCCCGGGCGATCCTGGACCCCCCCCGGGGTGAGTGATCCCGGAATCCTGGAATTCCGGGATTTTTCTCCCCTCCCTCGCACTGAAATCTGGGATTTCAGGGGGGAGTTTCGCCTGGGAATTCCCGGGGGGTGAGTCCCGGGATTTGGGGTGAATCCAGAGGGATTTGGGAATGGTCTTCTCCCGCCACTCCGCGGCCCTTTGGAGCAGAAAAAAAGCTGGAAAAACAAAATAAAACCGGGAAGGGGGAGGTCGCAAAGGGAACGGGGAAGGCGGGGAGGTGGGAGGGTTCAAATCCCACTTCTGACACACCTTTTTTTTCCCCCTCCAAAAACTCGTTTTTTGGATAACTTTCCCTTTTTTTCCCTCTTTTCTTTTCCACTAAAAAAAATCTCTCCCCATCCTATAAACTCCCCTGCAAAAAACCAGGATTAAAACCAGTCCCTGAGGAAAACCAGGATTAAAATGGGAAAAAGACCCTCTGGAAGGAAGGAAGGAAGGAAGGAACTGGTCCCTTCTCCCTCCGATTCCATCTGGGAATGGATCCCTCCCCTCATCCTCGGTCCAGTTTCCCGTAAACCTTCAGGGAACGAGGAGATGGGAACAGGAGGAGACGGGAACAGGAGGAGATGGGAACAGGAGGAGATGGGAGCAGGAGGAGATGGGAACAGGAGGAGATGGGAACAGGAGGAGATGGGAACAGGAGGAGATGGGAACAGGAGGAGACGGGAACAGGAGGAGACGGGAACAGGAGGAGACGGGAACAGGAGGAGATGGGAGGGATGACTTTTGCAACCTGACGTTTCTTGCCCTGGCTGTGGGTGCCAGGACAATAAAAAGCCCCGTCATTAAACTGATCCCAACCCCGACGTGTCGGGACCTGCCCCTTAATCCCGGTTTTTGTCGGGACAATGGGGAAGGAGCTGCCTCCCCCCCGGAGGCTCTGCTGCTCCTGCTCTCAGCCTTTAATCCCCCAGATTCCCCCGGGATTTGCCGTTCCCGGACAAACGAGCGTCGGGCGTTCGGCGTCGACGCCCACGGGAGATCACCCCCCCCCCCCAAAAAAAACAAACCCCGGACCCAAAACCAGGGGTTTTTTTGCCAGAAAACGGTGCTTTTCTGCTTCCTAAACGTGAAACCCCAGCCTGGCCGGTGGGTTTGCTCGGGAATTTGTGCTCCTGGCCAAAAAAAATAATGAGGGTGATCTTTGAGGCCCCTGGGTGATCTTTGAGGGCCCTGGATGATCTTTGAGGGCCCTGGATGATCTTTGAGGGCCCTGGATGATCCTTAAGGAGGATCTTTGAGATCTCTGGATGATCTCTGAGGTCCCTGGATGATCTCTGAGATCCCTGGATGATCCTTAAGGTCCCTGGATGATCTTTGAGGCCCCTGGATGATCCTTAAGGTCCCTGGATGATCTTTAAGGTCCCTGGATGATCTCTGAGATCTCTGGATGATCTCTGAGATCTCTGGATGATCTCTGAGATCTCTGGATGATCTCTGAGGTCCCTGGATGATCTTTGAGGGCCCTGGATGATCTTTAAGGATGATCTTTGAGATCTCTGGATGATCTTTAAGGTCCCTGGATGATCTCTGAGATCTCTGGATGATCTCTGAGATCTCTGGATGATCTCTGAGGTCCCTGGGTGATCTTTAAGGATGATCTCTGAGATCCCTGGATGATCCTTAAGGTCCCTGGATGATCTTTAAGGATGATCTCTGAGGTCCCTGGATGATCTTTAAGGATGATCTTTAAGGCCCCTGGATGATCCTTAAGGTCCCTGGATGATCTTTAAGGATGATCTCTGAGATCCCTGGATGATCCTTAAGGGTCCTGGATGATCTTTAAGGTCTCTGGATGATCTTTAAGGTCCCTGGATGATCTTTAGGGCCCCTGGATGATCTTTAGGGCCCCTTTAATGTCCCTTCCCACCCCACACCCTCCTCCACCCCCACCAAGAGCGTCCAGCGGACGAAACTTTTCCTGGGAACGCCCCAGAAGAGGCCGTGGCTCGAGGTGGCTCCGGGTTCATCCCTCGCTCAGACCTTGGTGCAACACGAGGAAAAAAAAAGGATCTGACGAGTTCCCTGCCGGGAAAAGCCTCAGCCCTGGGCGTGGGAACGGCGCCGTGGCCTCGTGGCCGGCGGCCAAAACGATGACAGGGGTGAGTAAAGAGGGGAAAAAAAACCAAAACCCCAAAGTCATCGGGGAACTGACTCTGCTGGATGGCTGGTTCCCCTTTCCCGGGACCAAAATCCCACCCAAGCCTTGATTGGCAGCGGACTCGGGAACCGCCGCGGGGTTTTCCGGTAATCCCGGGGGATATAAAAGGGATCCCGGGCGGGGAGGGAGGGAAGGAGGGAAGGAGGACTCGGGGGTTGCTCCCGGAGCCGTGGCTGGGATGGGTGAGTGGTTCCCCGGGCTCTCCCTCCTCCTCCTCTGCTCCTCTCTCCGGGATTCCTCCCCACCTTTCGGGGCTGGGTTGGTTCCATCCCCGTGTCCACCATCCTCTCCCTCTCTCCCGGATATTCCAGGGCCTCCTGGAGCTCCGGGACCTCCTGGAGCTCCACCGGGAATTCCATGGGCAAGGGGGGGACCTCCCTTGGGATTTGGGGGGTCGTTCCACCTGGTTCCACCTGGTTCCATCCCCGTGTCCACCATCCTCCCCCTCTCCCCTGGATATTCCAGGGCCTCCTGGAGCTCCGGGACCTCCTGGAGCTCCACCAGGAATTCCATGGGCAAGGGGGGACCTCCCTTGGGATCTGGGGGGGTCATTCCACCTGGTTCCACCTGATTCCATCTCCTGTATCCACCATCCTCCCCCTCTCTCCTGGATATTCCAGGGCCTCCTGGAGCTCCACTGGGAATTCCATGGGCAAGGGGGGACCTCCCTTGGGATTTGGGGGTGGGTTCCTCCCACCTTTCAGGGCTGGGTTGGTTCCATCTGGTTCCACCCCGTGTCCACCATCCTTTCCCTTTCTCCTGGATATTCCAGGGTCTCCTGGAGCTCCGGGACCTCCTGGAGCTCCACCAGGAATTCCATGGGCAAGGAGGGGACCTCCCTTGGGATTTGGGGGGTCATTCCACCTGGTTCCACCTGGTTCCGTCCCCGTGTCCACCATCCTTCCCCTCTCCCCTGGATATTCCAGGGCCTCCTGGAGCTCCACCGGGAATTCCATGGGCAAGGGGGGACCTCCCTTGGGATTTGGGGGGTGGGATGATCCAAACTGTGCAGAGACGCGACCTCAGGGTCTCCCGGGACGGCCCCGTTGCTCCATCCGGGCTGGTGGTTCCTCCACATCTTCCTGGAAAAAACAACCAAACAAGGAATTCTGGTGGAAAAGTGGGAATTTTGGGCTTCTCCCAGGGCTGGATCCGGGGAGGGAAAAGGAAACAAAAAGTTTCTCTCTCTGGGGTCGCTTTTGGGGAAGAGAAACCGAAAGTTGGGAAAATCCCGGGGGGGGAATTTCGGCCCAAACTTTTCTTCCCCCCCCCCCCCCCCCGAAAAACTTGTTAAAAACCAAAAAGGGTTTTTAAAATGAGGGAGTTTTTTAAAATTAGGGATTTTTTTTTAAGATGGGGAAATTTTAAAATAGGAAGGAATTTTTAATAGGAGGGAATTTTAAATGGGAGGAATTTTTAATAGGAGGGAGTTTTAAAAAGGAGAGAATTTAAAAGAGGAAGGAATTTTTAATAGGAGGGTGTTTAAAATAACATGGAATTTTAAACAGGGAATTTTATGTAGGAGGGAATTTTTAATAGGGAATCCTAAACAGGAGGGGATTTAAAATAGGAGGGAATTTTTAATAGGAATTTAACAGGAATTTAATTTTTAATAGGAATTTTCCTTGGAATTTTAATTTGTAATAGGAATTTTACCAGGAATTTAATTTTTAATAGGAATTTTCCTCGGAATTTTAATTTGTAATAGGAATTTTAATGGGACTTTAACAGGAATTTAATTTTTAATAGGAATTTTACTCGGGATTTAATTTTTTAATAGGAATTTTAACAGGAATTTTAATTTCTAATAGGAATTTTCCTTGGAATTTTAATTTGTAACAGGAATTTTAACAGGAATTTAATTTTTAATAGGAATTTTCCTCGGAATTTTAATTTTTAATAGGAATTTTAATGGGACTTTAACAGGAATTTAATTTTTAATAGGAATTTTCCTTGGAATTTAATTTTTAATAGGAATTTTACTCGGAATTTAATTTTTAATAGGAATTTTACTCGGGATTTAATTTTTTAATAGGAATTTTAACAGGAATTTTAATTTTTAATAGGGAATTTTCCTCGGAATTTTAATTTTTAATAGGGAATTTTCCTCGGAATTTTAATTTTTAATAGGAATTTTCCTCGGAATTTTAATTTGTAATAGGGATTTTAATGGGACTTTAACAGGAATTTAATTTTTAATAGGAATTTTACTCGGAATTTAATTTGTAATAGGAATTTTCCTCGGAATTTAATTTTTAATAGGAATTTTCCTTGGAATTTTAATAGAAATTTTAATAGGAATTTTAATAGGAATTTTAATAGGAGTTTAATTTTTAATAGGAATTTTACTCGGAATTTAATTTTTAATAGGAATTTTACTCGGGATTTAATTTTTTAATGGGAATTTTAACAGGAATTTAATTTTTAATAGGGAATTTTACCAGGAATTTTAATAGAAATTTTAATAGGAATTTTAATAGGAATTTTAACAGGAATTTTAATTTTTAATAGGAATTTTCCTGGGAATTTAA